TTTCCTCGAATGGAGGCCCTTGATTTGCAGGCTCTTTAAAAAGGAAATATCCCCAAGCAAGATGAGAAAATATTATAGCGGGGAAATCCTCAGGATTTTGTGGCTTTTTAAGGCGTTATGTTTCTCAGAATATAGTCGCAATGAGAGGAAATGTACGGTTAAATAGATTCACTTTGTTTTATGTATTTAATTGATAGATTTTCGCATTTGTTACGATGTGAAGTCGTGTTGCACTTCATAAATACTTGACATATGAAGTATCCACTGTCACGTAATTTTTACGTGCGCACGTGCGAAAACGTTGCGTTCGCAAATAAATTAAAGGCAATGTATGAAAGGCCGCACGTACAATTATGTAAGCGTAAAAGTAGAACTCGCTTAATTTGACGTTTAATCTCAATACTTTATGTCTTACCTCCATTTGATTTACGTGATTAAAATTTACGTGCGTTAACGTGCGGAGCCATAAACGCATCAGTGGAAATCCATCCTAACGTGTCACGGATGTGTTTATACGGGTAGCTTTGAACTTGAGTAACCGCACACTCTACTTGCAGCACTTCATGTCCGTAGTTAATAGAAATCCCATATCGAGCTTTTCCGGAACAGGTTGGTCCAAGAATTCTATGGCTTGAAAGCCTTGATTATTTTGGAACAACTGATCACTTCAGTGGTCGAAAAAAAAAGAATAATCTTAATAAGCAAAACTTCAAGGTTTACTGGAAAATCAGGATCGAGGATCGAGAAATCTGCGATCGAGGATCGGTTAAATAAATAAATAAATAAATCGTGGATCAGTGGTGATGTGGGCCGCAGACTGTAGATAAATTTTACAGAACATAACCCCGTTCGCTGTACTTAACACTAAATTCAAGTAAACTAATCCGAGTCTGTCTGAGTCAGTGATTGTTTGGACGAGAAAGTGAAATTTTCCAGGAAAATGAAACGCTTTATCTCGGTGATACTGTAATACAAGAGAAAACTAGTAATGCTGACCTTTTTATCGTGTCGTAAACTAAGGTTCTTACCTACCCACCTATCTACCTACCTATCTATCTATCTATCTATCTATCTATCTATCTATCTATCTATCTATCTATCTGTCTATCTATCTATCTATCTATCTGTCTGTCTGTCTGTCTGTCTGTTTGTCTAACAGCAGTGTGTAGTAGAGGGCTGTGTATCTAAGCCCCAGTTGATAAGTTGTAGAGTTTCACAGGGTTCAATTTTAGGCCCTTTGTTGTTTTTAATATATATCAATGATCTCCCTGGATGTCTTCTCCATACCAAAGCACACATGTATGCCGATTATACCACGATATATGCGTCCTCTGTATCCACTGCTGAACTATATGCCACGGTAAATAATGACCTAACTCTCGTTAGGGACGGGCTTCTTGCAAATAAGTTTAAGCTTAAATGTCACTAAAACGGAGTAAATGTTCTTAACAACTACCTTCAAATTATCTAACTTAGAAAGAGACTTTCCAATTACGATTGGCAACAATCATGTTAAGCGAGTCCGAACAACAAACTATTTAGGAATTCACTTAGATGAAAATCTTAAATGGAACGAGCATGTTGACAAACTTTGTTCAAAAGTCAATCGATCCATCAGTGGTCTAAAACAGGCATGTGATTATGTACCATTAGATGTTCTAAGTACTATTTACAAATCTCTTATCCAGCCTGTGTTCGACTACTGCGACGTTGTTTGGGACAATTTAGACCAGGGACTTGCCACTAGGATCCAGAAATTACAAAATCGTGCTGCACGCATAATAACCTTTCAAGGTTATGACATTCGTTCAGGACAAACATGAAAACAACTAAACTGGGAAGAGCTTGCCTCAAGGCGTCAAAGGCACTCAAGTCTATTAATGTATGATACAGTGAATGGAAATGTACCTAGTTACTTAAGCGATCTTTTCTCGAATGTCTGTAAGAACAACCCTTATAACTCTATGCTAAGAAATACGGAATATAATGTTGTACTGGACCACGTTCCAAAAACAGAATATTATAAAGGAGGGTCTTTCTCATACAGAGGAGGAATGCTGTGGAATTTACTACCAAATGACATAAAAGCGTCCGAATCTAACGCTATCTTTAAAAGAAAACTGGCTAGTAGGCAGGCAAACTGTTGACTACATTTTACTATATTTTATTATTTGTACAGATTTTTAGTGTAGTTGTACAGTTTTTACTTCTGTTTCTATACGGCTTTCATGTAAAGAAGTTATGTAACTTATGAAACTACCGTATTCAAATAAAAGTGAATCAATCAATCAATCTGTTTGTCTGTCTGTCTATCTGCCTATCTATCTATCTATCTATCTATCTATCTATCTATCTATCTAAAATGCATGCTGTGTACAACTCTAAACATTGTACTCTGAGACTGTACGGAGATATTAAAAGTAGATACTAAGCAGCTATGGAAAATGTCGTTACTTTCATGCGATATTGATATCTTATAAAACGGACAACAAATTCAGTAGGAATACGCGCGAACTGAATTAACTGTGTGTTGTATAAGGTTCTGTTAATCTTACACTTTTTTCTCGTACTGAACATATTCTGTACCGAGCCGTATCTTGGTCCGGTACAAAGAAGCTATGTATATTTATACTGACAGAGTCATGGGCCCCTGATACCGATAAAAATCATCGTTCAATTTTTCGTGTGTAAAATCCTTGAAAGAGTACTCCTCAATGGAGCAATATCAATATGTAGAAGGTTTTCAAAGGTTTCACACCGGTTTAAGGCTAAGATGTGCGGTCTGTCTCTCCTTGCAATTTTTACTTTTTGAGTGTATACATTATGACATACAACACTCGTTTTGTATTCCAAACGAAAAAGTAGTATAACAGCACCGGGGCCTTTGACAACGAAACTCATCTCCAAGCAAGCAAGACTCAACGCTACTAAGAGCGTTCTTGTTTCCGTTTAGAGTCGAATGAGTTTCCTGAGATTGGGTCAGTCGGTCGGATTAAAAACAATAATAATAATAATAATAAATCATAAGAAGTCTTTGAATAGGTTGTTTCTACTTTTATGCTTACGTGCGACCTTTCATACACTGCCTTTATTTTATTTGCGAACGTAAATTTTACGCACGTACGCACGTAAACATTACGCGGCAGTGGAAATCCACCATAATAGGTAGTTTAAGTTGCTTCCAGAAGTAAATACTTCATATCTCAAGTGTTTATAAAGTGCAACACGACTTCACATCTTAACAACTGTGAAAATCTATCAATCAAATACATATGACAAAGTGAATCTATTTAACCGCAGGGTTCCAGTAATTGCGTCAATATTCTGAGAAACGTAACGCCTCAATATACCATAAACAGGATTTCCCCGCTATAATATTTTCTCATCCTTCGCGGTATTTACTTTTTAATACGCGTTCATGTCGTGCATAATTACTCGAAAAGCAAGGGCCTCGATTCGGGGAAATTACGTCATTGCAAAACTTACATGCGTCATTTCAGTCATCGCTGAAAATAAACCGCATGCTTATCACAAGACTCATTTGCATACATTGAAAATCATCACGATTCTTATCCCCAGTTTCCACGGTCTTCGCCAGGAACGCGTGTCCTACAAACTAGGTCTCAGACAAAAAAAAAAACAGAAACGCCTGTATTTTTAGTCTCGCTCTGCTAAAGCAAGCTCCACTAAAAATTTGCGCTTGAGAAGCGCGTGTGACAACTGCTGAAGAGTAAAATGCATTTTTAACGGATTTGAATTCTTTAAAATGCATTGCAATGTTTCTCGATGTTTCTTAACGTATTTTTAACCTTTCCCATGAATGCGTGCAATTTCGTCAAATGATGAAGAATTATCAACACTCTGGCAATGTTACCATCTTTTTTTGCGTGATGATAAAAAATGACAGCTAAAGGTCAACGTGGGACACGTAGTCACTCCAACACGTCCTTTTTACAAGGCACTGCAAATGGTCTAGTCTCCTTTGCAGCCGGGCGTCGATAAAAGCCGGAACACGGAACATTCCGGAACATGCCGAAACATCCCGGAACATGAAAACATAAAAGTAATTTTCGTGAAAATAAAATGAAATAAATAATAATAATAAAATCATTTTTGTAAAAATTAACAATAACGTAAGATAAAAAAAAAAAAGATAAAAAAGGAAAAATAAGGAAATAAAGAAAAAGAAACTCGTATCATCTCCGAGTATGAGAAAACAATATTTTGTCGCAAATAATTTGTTGGGCAAGTGAGGGTCCATGCAAATGACAGTAATGAGTGAGGGCCTTGCTTCTAAATTCAAAATATATTAAAAAGGGTCCCGAGGAGGGAGGTTTTCAAGCTTTCCTCAAAGAGCCACCTCTTGTAATTGTTTGCCATGCGGTTTAACGGTAATCCATTTACAGCTTCGGGACCGTAAGAAAAGCTTAGGGGATCGTCGCTTTGGAGTCGCAAGTGAAGTTTGCGACTCGAGGAGATGGCTGAAATTCAAGCTAGATGACAGCCCCCTATTTTCTTCTGCCAAGTTGAAGATGACGATCGCCGCTGTCAAAGTGATTTGGGTATAATGGAACTAGAACTTTTATGGAGGGGCCGGTTGTGATTCTCGTGATCATGGAGATCCTCACAGACTTCCTAGGCCCGTTTTAGACTCCAGGCATGACGCTGACACGACGGAACCAAATGCTCTTAGACTGATATATTTAGCAAGATGGAACACAAAACAAACAAACAAAGACGGACGGCTCCTTTCCTTTCTATTCACCTTTGACCAGGACACGTAACAAACAGAGACCGTAATACCGGGGGGGAGGGAGGGAACTCCCATATGAAAGGTGCGGGGATGCTGGTAGTCTCGCTTAGGGGTGTACATTTCAGATTTTGGTCTCGCTTAGGGTGTTCTGGGCAAAACACCATTATATTTTGAGGTAAAGGTCTCTTTTAGGGTTGCACTGGAAGAAATATTAAAAAATTATATATTTTCAATCTGTAAGTAGTTTATGTCAACCTCAAGAAAGCAAAGCACCTCAAGTAAGCAAATGTAAGTTGGCTTGACATGAGTTACTTACCGACTTGGCTTGACATGAAATACTGCACCGACATTTCAGACCATCGCAGAGCCGTAAATGGATAACCTCCCTTTCAATGATTAACTCATGGCAAACAATTACAAGAGGAAAACTTGAAAACCCCCCTCCTCGCGACCCATTTTATTATAGTTTGAATTTTGAAGCAGGCCTTCACTCATTACTGTCATTTGCATGGACCCTTACTCGCCCAACAAATTAATTGCGACAAAATACTGTTTTCTCATACTTGGAGATGATACAAGTTTCTTTTTCTTAATTATTTCATTATTTTTCTTTTCTTTCCTTTTTTTGTTATTTTATGTTATTTTGTTATTATTAATTTTTACAAAAATTATTTTATTATTATTATTTTTTTTTTTTTTTCATGAAAATTACTTTTATTTTCTCATGTTCCGGGATATTCCGGGATGTTCCGGCATGTTCCGTGTTCCGGGTTTTATCGACGCCCTACCAAGACACAAAAACCTCTCCTTATTCTAAAAAGAGCTTAATTGTGATAATATAAATTACAAGTTAAAAGTCATGTTGGAATGTTTTGTCTTGGTTTGCAATCGATCGCGCGCTTTGAATAACATCAACACGAACGCGCCCTTCTTCAACACACATAGGTTGGAGGCTGAAGTAAAATTTTCCTGTAACTTTTAAATCTCAGTAGGAAAAAGTAAGAAGACCCCGGGCATAGTTTCTCCCAATAAATACCTCTCAGCCGGTGAATAACTTCCTACCAGTCTAAGACTCTTGTTGATAGTTCTAATAGCTAACCAACTTGTTGGCCTCTCTTCCTTGGTTTTTAAGTTTTGCGTGTATCTTCAATATCATCTGAACAAATGTAGTGTGCCTTGGTGTATGAACTCAAGGAACTCAAAGAATCCTCCTTCATCAATAGCTATTGCTTTCAGCAGGTATACTAGAAGAACGGTTGTAGAGATTATACCGGCTGTACCGACCGTGCCGTACCGTGCCGCAGTGTAATACCAAAATAATGGTGTTACGGTGTACTAAAATCCTAATATTAAAGAAATTAAGAGTTAACTTCTAACTCGGAATTCTGGAATCAAAATAAACTAGAAGCTACCAGCAATCCAGTCTGATAAAGAACTATTTATAATGACGACATTGAGAAGTCCGATATCATTCCTTCGATAAATTCAGACCATTCGGCAATTTTTCTCCATTTTAACAGCATAGACAAACCAAAACATGGCCCCTCTTTCTGGAAGTTTAATGCTAGCCTTTTGAATGACGACGACTTTGTTGCACTGATAAATGAAAGTGTGCCTTTGCGGTTAGAGGAGTTCAAAGACGTTATAGATAAAAGGCTGTTGTGGGATTTAATTAAGTACAGGATTAGACAAATTACAATAAAGTACAGCAAAGAAAAAGCACGTGAAAGGAGAAGAAAGATCTCTGATATTGAGACTTCTTTGAAGATTTCGGAAGAGAGATGCGGTAGTTCACCAACTCCTGAGAACCACCGTCCAGGACGAGTTTGAATTGTTAAAAATGGAATATGATTCTATCTATGAACAGATAGCAAAAGGAGCTATAATCCGATCGAAAGCCACTTGGTATGAAAAGGAGGAAAAAGCAATAAGTTCTTTTTAAACCTCGAAACACATAAGAAAGCTAAGAGTTCTGTCCGTAAGGTGTTTGACGATAATGGAGTTCTAATCACGGATCCTAAAAAAATATTGCAAGAAATTCAAAATTTTTATTCTAATCTTTGTGAGCGTGACCCTCTTAGCCCATCTGAACACACGTTAAACTCTTTTTTAAATAATCCTGAAATGCCAAAACTCTGATACTGAAGTTCAAATTTGCGAGGGAAAATTAACTGTTGAAGAGTGTTACAAAAGTCTTCAGCTGTTTGAAAGTAACAAGTCACCAGGCAATGAAGGACTAACAGTTGAATTTTACAGGGCTTTTTGGGGCCTCTTAGGACAGCTATTAGTAGACAGCTTAAACTACTCTTATGGTCATGGTGAGCTCTCAAACTCTCAGAAAGAAGCTATTATTACCGTAATAGAAAAGGAGGACAAAGACAAAAGGGACTTATCAAACTGGAGACCTATTTCGCTTATTAATGTTGATGTTAAAATCGGTTCAAAAGCCATTGCCAAGAGATTGGAGAATGTTTTACCAAACATCATACATTTCAATCAATCTGCATATGTGAAAGGTAGAACCATTTTTGACGCGGTGAGAACCATAGAGGACGTTATGGAGGACAGTATTGACGGAAGAATCGTTTGTATAGATTTCAAAAAGGCTTTTGACACAGTTAGTAGAGACTTCTTATTTCGAACTTTATCCGTTTTTGGTTTTGGACCATCTTTTATTCAATGGATCCACACTTTTTACAAGAATGTCTCGAGTTGTGTCTTAAATAATGGCTTTGCAACTTCATCCTTTGCAGTTGAAAGAGGAGTAAGACAGGGAGACCCTCTCCCTGCTTACTTATTTATTATAGCATTAGAAGTTTTATGTGTTAATATACGTAATAGTAATGACATTCGTGGTATTAAAGTCGATAATGAAGAGATCAAAGTAAGTCTTTTCGCAGATGACCTGACTGGGTTTTTAAAGAATGACCTCTCTCTAACAAACTTGCTCTGGCCTAAAGGTTAACCACGAAAAGACAGAGCTTTTGCTGCTAGGTAACCTGGCCTGTACCGTACAAGAAGCCGCTCTGAACAACATAAAAATTAAACGATCAGCTAAAATCTTAGGAGTACATTTTACCTATGACATTCACGCAAAACAAAAGCTAAACATCAATGAATTAATCAGCTCCATTCAACTTAAGCTACGATCTGGAGGTGGAGGGATTTGACTATCATAGGGAGAATTCAAATTGTTAAAACCTTTATTATCCCTATCTTCTTATATCGCACGAGCTTGATATCATTGGATAAAGAATTTGTGAAAGAAGCGAACAAAATTGTCTTTGATTTTATATGGAAAGGAAAGGATAACGTTAAACGCTCTGCACTTATCAGTTGAGAGTCTTGAACCTTTCACCGTTGGGTGCCTTTAGGCTTGTCTCTTTAATAGACGCTCTACCAACTCAATGGCGTGAATCGTTGAAATCCTGCATCTCCACAGGTGACACACCATTCATTTTGCGTGATGAGATTAAGTTACGCTTAAGTGGTCAAATTGTTTTACTTGAAAAAGCGTATTCGAAAATTGTTTATAAAGAACTTCGAAACAGAATCGTCACTCCACCAACTGCTAAACTAAAGTTTGATGCTAATTTTGTTAATGATACTTTGAATTGGAAAAAAAATCTATAGCTTGCCATATCGTGTTGCCTTGGATACAAAGACTCGCGAATTTCAGTATAAATTATAGCCTGCGTAGCAAGCGTTTCCGTTTGGTTTCGGAGCAAAAGGGGACTTTCGGTTTTGACCGCGCGAGAAATGAAACGAGAACCTGATTGGCTCGGCTAGTCGAACAATATTGACATGTGTCGATCAAAGGTTTGTTTCATACTGAGAGGTCATGAATGGTACGTGACACACATCTTAATTTCCACATCTTAATTTCGCACGAACTAATGTACACAATGAAGGCAAACAATCAATCTCCTCCGATGGCTACCGATATTTGGAAAGACCTTCCAACTTCTTTAAAAAAATCAAAGTGCGTCTGTATTTCCGAAGAAACTTATACGTTATCTGCTGTCAAAACAGCAAATGAATTAATTTTTCTTCATGCTGCTGATCACGCAACATGTGAAAATAAATTCTTGCTTGTTTCCTTTTACCCCCTTGTATTTCTTTCGATCATTTACCTGCTACCTAGAACCTAAATAGTTCAAGAAGCTAACAAAGAAAATCAACTGGTTCATTTAGCTTCCTAGCTTGCACGCTATTTTCACTAAATTTAATCAATCTTCTAGCTCTTAGTCGTGATGTTCCTCCACAAGATTATAATATCATCCCAGTTTACATTGATAAAAGCATATTTTATTTAGGTTTACATAATGTTTATTAAAATAACGATTATTCATCTACGAAGTGGAAAAACGGGAAAAATGTCTAAAAAACTGCCAAGAGAGATTAGGAGTGTTTGGAATACAAAGCTATCAATTCATTTGTTCAAAACTGGAAATTCTGTAGTTTACTGAGAACCGAAGGACGCAGGTACAACTGAACTTGGGAAAATATGTCTCAAGGCTGCATTTCATTACTTGCTGAAATAATAAAAAAAAAAAAACAGGAAGCTCCCCAAATCTAACAATTTCTCAAGGTATCGAAAGAGAGCTAAAACTGTAAAGTAGTAAAAGAAGGAAAGAGCTAAAACTTACCACAAAGCCGTTTACAGGTCGTACACTTTACGGCCTTCTGTTTCCTATGTGACCCTCCACAGGATTTTAATGCTAAAGCTGAAAGCACGCGCACGACACGCTTTCACTTTAAAACAAAAGAATTTATTTTAACACGCTTTAGCACGCTTGCAATCTTGCCTCATTAGCAATTTCTTTTGTTTCAGAGGACACGCTTGAGACAATTTAGCGTGAGCAAGTCGAACAAAAGAGCGTGTTAAAGTTTTCAAACAAAAGCTCCGTGCGAAAAAGCACAACACGCTTTCAGTGTGCGCAAAAGCACGCAAGGCGTGTTATCTATGAGCTAAATAAATTTCCTCTACAAAAAGGAACCTTAAATGAAAGAAGAAGAAAAGAAAAAGTTATACCTCAGTGATCGCAACGATAATATCTGATTGAAAAAATGTCGCTTGAAAAGTTTTATCAGTGAACGGTGTGACCTACTGGATTTATGGGTAGAATTATATTAGCATTGCAAAATCAAAGTTCTTTCCAGAAATGTTTACTGACGAAGCTGTGCAAAGGTTATCTTAATTTTCCTTAATTTAAAACACATTTGCAATTTTCGCAGAAACAGTGATCTTTCGGACTTAAGACACTTTCTTGCCGATCGCAGCAATCGCGGTCAAATATAATAGAAATCATCAAGTGCCAGGATCGCTAAATTGTATTTATTTTTTAGCGATTGCAAGAATCGTAGTGATCAATCACTAGCGCCATCAGCCGGTGTTACGCCCTACAATTATTTAAGTGTCTTAAATAGTCTGCTACACGGCCGTTTTAGACGCTCCTTCCACTGAAAACGGCTGTGTAGCAGATTATTATTTAAGCGGCGCGAAAATAATTCTTTTATGTCGCGCTAGTTTACTGCGTCTTTTAAATGCCTTAGCATAGCGTAACGAGATATCTTCACATAAATTATGATTGATAGCGCTTCGTTCGTCAGGGGCACCTGACGGCGATTTCCTCCTAAATGCATCCTAGCATCCTAGGACAACTTCAGTCTTTTCGAAATTACAAGGGCTTCAGCATTATTTTCCCGAAAAATTTAGCTTCCAATTGAAAGTTTTAGGAAAGTGAGAATTTTATCGTATTTTCGGTTCCGAAAATTTTAGGATTCCTTAATTCTTACGAAAAATAGCTTAACTGGGGAATGAAATGGAAAAAATTAAACTTCAGAAAATTGTAAGGAATTTATTAGATAACCTTCGAAAATTGTACATGCATGGAACGGTCATCTAGAAATGTTTAGCCTTCCTCAACCTATAGAAAATTGTAGGCAGTTTTTGTTTCTCCGATTTAATTACGTTCGTTCGTCTCAGCATGGCTTAAAGAAATATATTAAACTAATTTATTCAACTTCATTTCTCTGTGCATTACTGCTAATAAATATTCCGGTGCCCTAACTATAATTTTCAGGCGACATAACTTCAGTGCCTCGCATGCGATAGCAGGCCTCTTTGCGATTCCGGTCAATAGCCGACAGCCGGAGGAATTGGTTTACACTGATCGCGCGTTAATTCCAGGCTAGACCACCATTAAGTCGTGATTTTCAAATGGCCACGGTTACCATCAAATTCCCAAACAGTCTAAATTGGTATATTTGATTCACTTCGACCAGTTATCAATGCTGATTAAATCCACTGAAAACCCAAGCCATTTTTACCATCTTAGCGGTTTTAGTAATCAAGCGTGTTCAGCGTGTCTTACCCAAATTGCACGCTAACCGTGCTATAATTCGCACACTTACCGTGACATATGGCACGCTACAAAAAAACAAAAGGTCTAGCGTGTTAAATTTGCCAAAACAAAGGCAAGTGTGTCCGTCTTTGTTTTTTCAATTTAATATGCGCATATCCCTGATCTACGGCACGCTAATCGTGTCGTGCGCGTGCTTTCACCTTTAGCATCAAATTCCGGTGGAGTGTCACAATTATATTCACCCCTCGACGTTCGGGCATACGCTGAACGCAAAATTTGGGTTTTGCTTTAAAAGTGACACAGCAGTGTTGACTTTTTCTTTTCGCCTTCTCTCCTCCCCTCTTTTTTTGCTTTTTTGGACTCATTTTTTGTTTGTTGCTGGGGATTTTCCCCTTCTTTCAGTCCTCCCCCAACCTACACACTCACCAAAAAAATATCGCGCCCCTTGTAAGCTACCCCAGATTCCGCTACATATACAGACGGGTCTTCTTGTTATATAGACATTACATAAATATTGAAGTCATACGTAAGGCAAATACGTGTTGTTATCAAAGGGAATCCATCAATAAAGTGTAACATCATTTTCCAGAGCGAGTTACTTACATGATCACAAGAAAAAACGCATTTTAAGTCTTAATTTTTACAGTTTGATTACCTTTTATTTTGAATTGCTAAGTTAAAACGTTCCTCTAATTACCGTTCAAACACTCTTGCAGAGGAGAGCGCAAAGCTGAGGTAGTTTCAGTAAATAGAGAATAACAAAACAAATTGTAAAATCGCAGTAAATTGATCGGGACATTTCGCCTCTTCTCTTTTGTCATTTATAACGCAGAGCGACCAAGGGACTCTAGGATTTAGTCTAAAATACCAAAATATTTTCAAAATTCGTTAACAAAAATTGACCTTAAACTCTCAAAGAAATAAACTGTAAACTTAAAATTATTATTTATTCAGTCGGTGCGCACTTCCTCCGCCTTTTCGTGCCATCACTAGAACCGTTCGTTGAGCACAGATTGGTTTGGTCAGGCATGGCACACCCATAGAATTTAATTGCTCACTGCTTTAAATAATGGCATTTATCGCAACAACAGGCAAACAGCAGTTAAACTGCTTTTTAAGCTGACAGAACAACAAAACCTTGTTTCACCGTTACCCAAAGATTCAAGCCAACCCAGATAATGCGCATTTTTGTTTTCAACGAAAGCTGATGAAATTATTTGTTATTATCGCCAAGCAAATCCTTATGTGCACGCATGCATGAAAGTGCTTTTTAAAAAAACTAAACTGTTCATTTTCAAGGCAATGGATACTTACGTTTGACGACTTTTCCGGGCTCCTTTCTTTGGAACATCAATAAAGCTACGTTGCGTAATTTGCATAAATTGTGTCTATTTACTTGTTCGCTATAGAATGTGATAGCAACCTTTTGGATGGAAAGTGTCATTTGGGAATTATCCAACTTAAATTACGCTTTATCAAATTCAGTTTTTTGTGCGACATGAATGAGTCAAGTTCAAGGTTTGGGACGCCCAAAACGTTCGACGAGGAAAAGGATTGTTTATCAATTCCGTTCCAAAATCTACAATTACATGAACAAATGGGCGTTGCAGATTTTTCGAGAATGGCAAGACCAAAAAACGCTCAAGATTTGGACCATTTAACCAGGCGGACTGTTCAAAGGTGAAGACTTGGGGTGGATGTTCAAGAGTTGACTGAAAGCATTGAAATCATGAATGCCAGAAGTCTAAATTACTGGCTGGAGGTTGCCAATAAGTTGAAAATAGGTCGGGTGGACGACATCCCTCTCGAACACTTTACAGTATTGTCCGGCTGCAGCTTGAAACGTTTCCTTGTAATTTTGACTGATTTTGAAAGATTTCATTCGCTTTATTTGTTCAGTTCTGTATTTCAGGGTGTAACTTTTTATAAATGTAATGTCAAAGTCGTTATAAATTGTTCGAACTGTGATCATATGTGAAAACAATCTGTAGACAGAATTTTGTTAATTTGTATCCACCCCCCTCTGTAATTTTTTTAACACAAGTGAAATCAGTGCGCGTCTAAAACTGGCTTCGGTGAAATCTAGCAGTTTACATTTCGTTTTTGGTCACCTTGAGAAACGGTTCCCGGAGAGCATCATGTAGAGTTCTGAGATTAGACAAAGTTATTACGAGTCGCGAGTCGCAGAGTCTGCATCGTCCAATATCGTATTTTACTTTTTTCTATGCTTCCGAGCGGGCGCAATCCTCCAAATCCTGCAATCTGATTGGTTCCGAGAGCGGGCAGATTTTTAGGATCTTGCCCGCTAACTCGGGCGGAATCGTTGGCAACTTTATTCACAAGTTTGTTTGTTGTTTGTGAATGAGCATAACCGGTGATTTTTAACCATTTTTCTTTCAAAACTTGCGCTATTATTAGTGTTAGCTAGGAAAAAGTGAATGTTGTTATTCAGACAAAACATCTGAAGGGAGAATCAAGCAAGTGAGCCAGAAATACCGCTAAAGTAAAACAAAACAGGCGGCTCGTGATGTCGCTTCACTAGCTCTATAACCTACGTTGTAAGTACTGCAATCTTCCTCTTAAGAACCGTTTATTCATTATCAGCTGGATACAAATTTCTGGTGGGAAGGTGGGAGGGGATTCAACGAAGAGGACGGAGAGGTCTGGCCTCTAGGTCCAATCCCTTACTCTATAATATACCATTTTTGAAAAAAAAGATTGCCCTGTAGTATACCTTCTGTGGACGAAAGGTACCTCTTTCACACACCTTGTTTAACACACGCATCTCTTTAAACTCCTGTAATTGCACCATCTTTTTATACCAATATGTAACCAGAGCAGAAAGATTTCTTGTCTCTCTCACAGCCACAAAATGTGTCTGTCAGCCCTTTTAGGATATTTTTTACCGACCGAAATGACAGATTTCCCATCCCTTTCTTATACTTTACCCAGTAAAAACCCAGCCCTCTCATATAACTGAAGCATGAAAAAAGGTGTTCCCTCTCCGCAGACGGAGCCTAACCGTATAGGACATTACAGTGAGAAGCCCTCTGGGAGAAATTTATCCAGCTCAGATCTACATAAAATATGCTTCGCTGAAGAAAAATGAACGCTCTATCGATAACCACCTTTGCTGTTCTGGAGAATTTGGAAGGAATTCTGTTATACTTTGTTGTCATATCGCCCCAAACTATGCCGTGTTCAATATTTTAGCGTTGCGATGACCGTTGTCGAGATAAAACTTTTTTTGCATAAACACGAGAGTAGAAGATTAATCCTCTTTAAGTTACCTTGCCTCTTCGCAACTATTCTTTGTAGTTGCATGTTCAAAATGATCATGCCAGGTCGATACTGTTATTAAGAAAATGTATAAAATACCAAGGTGTCGTCGTGATCGACGAGTCTTTAAGCTGCAAATATCACATCGCATTTGTCTGTTCCTTTCATATCTCAAAACACTGGAATGATATTGAAATAAAGCTAAATATAACCTTTCAATGCAACGAATAAAACAGATATTTTATAATCTACCCTCTATAATAATTCGCATGGCATATTAGCTGGAGGAAGTGTCGCAAAACACATACAAAAAAATTTAAGTGAAACAGACAAAACCATAAAGTAAGATTAATATTCCTTACTACAGCATTTGGTAGTGAATCAGAGAAAGCCTAACCTATGCTAAACCTACTAGGCCTTTTAACAGTTAAGAATACTTATCGTCTATAAGTTTCAAAATTCGTGTATTCATGGTATAAACACCGTCTGCCTTAGGTATTCGGCAACATGTTTCAATATCAGTTAGTAACACAACATTGAAACAACACGAGATATACAGCTAATCACTGATATTTACTGATAAGCCGAGCGTACGAACTAATGTAGACAATGGAGGCAAACAATCAATCTCCTCCGATGGCTACCATATTTGGAAAGACCTTCCAACTTCTTTAAAAAAAATCAAAGTGCGTCTGTATTTCCGAAGAAACTTATACGTTATCTGCTGTCAAACCAGCAAATGAATTAATTTTTCTTCATGCTGCTGATCACGCAACATGTGAAAATAAGTTCTTCCTTTTTTCCTTTTAACCCCTTGTATTTCTTTCGATCATTTACCTGCTACCTAGAACCTAAGTAAATAGTTCAAGGAGCTAACAAAGAAAATCAACTGGTTCATTTAGCTTCCTAGCTTGTACGTTATTTTCACTAAATTTAATCAATCTTCTAGCTCTTAGTCGTGATGTTCCTCCACAAGATTATAATATCATCCCAGTTTACATTGATAAAGCATATTTCATTTAGGTTTACATAATGTTTATTAAAATAACGATTATTCATCTAAGAAGTGGAAAAACGGGAAAAATGTCTAAAAAACTGCCAAGGGAGATAAGGAGTGTTTGGAATACAATGCCATCAATTCATTTGTTCAAACCTGGAAATTCTGTAGTTTACTCCGAACCGAAGGACGCTCGGGTACAACTGAACTTGGGAAAATATGTCACCACCATTTTGGTTCATTTTAAATCATCAAGGCTGCATTTCATTTCTTGCTAAAATAAAAAACAAAACAGGAAGCTCCCCAAATCTAACAATTTCTCCAGGCATCGAAGGAGAGCTAAAACTGTAAAGTAATAAAAGTAGTAAAGAGCTAAAACTTACCACAAAGCGGTTTACAGGTCGTACACTTAACGGCCTTCTGTTTCATATATTCACCCCTCGACGTTCGGGCATACGCTGAACGCAAAATTTGGGTTTTGCTTTAAAAGTGACACAGCAGTGTTGACTTTTTCTTTTCGCCTCCTCTCCCCCTCCCCCCCCCCCTTTTTTTTGCTTCTTTGGACTCACTTTTGTTTGTTGCTTGGCATTTTCCCCTCCTTTCAGTCTTCCCCCAACCTACACACTCACCAAAAAAATATCGCGCCCCTTGTAAGCTACCCCAGATTCCGCTACATATACAGACGGGTCTTCTTGTTATATAGACATTACATAAATATTGAAGTCATACGTAAGGCAAATACGTGTTGTTATCAAAGGGAATCCATCAATAAAGTGCAACATCATTTTCCAGAGCGAGTTACTTACATGATCACAAGGAAAAATGCATTTTAAGTGTCAATTTTTACAGTTTAATTACCTTTTATTTTGAATTGCTAAGTTAAAACGTTCCTCTAATTACCGTCCAAAAACGCTTGCATCGGAGGGCGCAAAGCTGAGGTAGTTTCAGTAAATAGAGAATAACAAAACAAATTGTAAAATCGCAGTAAATTGGCTCGGTCATTTCGCTTCTTCTCTTTTGTCATTCATAACGCAGAGCGACCAAGGGACTCTAGGATTTAGCCCAAAATACCAAATATTTTCAGAATTTGTTAACAAAAATTGACCTTAAACTCTCGAAGAAATAAACTGTAAACTTGAAACTATTACTTATTCAGTCGGTCCGCACTTCCTCCGCCATTTTGTGCCATCACTAGAACCGTTCGTCGGGCACAGATTGGTTTCTTCAGGCTTGGCTCTCCCATAGAATTTAATTGCTCACTGCTTTAAGTAATGGCATTTATCGCAACGACAGGCAAACAGCAGTTAAGCTGCTTTTTAAGCTGACAGAAAAACAAAACCTTGTTTTACCGTTACCCAAAGATTCTAGCCAACCCAGATAATGCGTAGTTTTGTTTTCAAAGACAGCTGATAAAATTATTTCTTATCGCCAAGCAAATCATTATGTGCACTGCATGCATGAAAGTGCTTTAGCAAACTGTTCATTTTCAAGGCAATGGATACTTACGTTTGACGACTTTTCCGGGCTCCTTTCTTTAGAACATGAATAAAACTACGTTGCGTAATTTGCATAAATTGTGTCTATTTACTTGTTCGCTACAGAATGTGATAACAACCTTTTTTGTGCGACATGAATGCGGTCAAGTTCAAGGTTTGGGACGCCCAAACTTTCGACGAGGAAAAGGATTGTTTATCAATTCTGTTCCAAAATCTACGATTACATGAACAAATGGGCGTTGCAGACTTTTCGAGAATGGCAAGACCAAAAGCGCTCAAGATTTGCACCATTTAGCCAGGCGGACTGTTCAAAGGTGAAGACTTGGGGTGGATGTTCAAGAGTTGACTGAAAGCATTGAAATCATGAATGCCAAAAGTCTAAACTACTGGCAGGAGGTTGCCAATAAGTTGAAAATAAGTCGGGTAGACGATACCCCTCTCGGACATTTTACAGTATTGTCCGGCTGCTTCTTAAAACGTTTCCTGGTAATTTTGACTGATTATGAAAGATTTCATTCGCTTTATTTGTTCAGTTCTGTATTTCAGGGTGTAACTTTTTATAAATGTAATGTCAAAGTCGTTATAAATTGTTCGAACCGTAATCATA